AGTATATTTAGCATTATCAGCAACAGTAGCGAGGGCCGAATCCCCCTCTAGATGAAACTCTAGACCCGCGGCTGCGTCGAGGCTTCATATCTGTTGACAGGACAGCGGATCATGAGCTCAAATCTGCCTTGTTTCAAAATAAACTTCTTCAGCTCTCATTTAAACACCTGCCCCTGAGGAATGTCTGACATTTCCCGCTCGCACTTAAACAAACAGATGAGTGCAGAAACGTCTTTCATCCGCAGGTCAAGCTTTTCTGGGTCACTCGGCTTTCAGGTCATTCTGGATCACATGGATAAAAGCTTGTGTTTCACATCTAGGCTACTTGCACACTTACATTTGGGGCTGAAACACAAAGTGCGATATCCTTATATCCTATTAAGCTTCAAATGGTGGAAATGTCAGTAAATAAATGAGAGAACAGCATGCTCAAAGTGGAAATACAGTGATTTTTTTACCCATTCTAAAGGCAATCGATAGCTTTATGTAAGGCATTTTGACAATATTTACATTCTTGTGTTCGTATAGTAATAATTTCTAGAAGTATTATTACTATACAAACACAACAACATAAACATAGTCAAATCTGCATTTACTTAAAAATTGTTACCATACAAACACAAGAACATAAATAAATTGGCATTTATCTTTTGAAAATATTACTATACAAACACAAGAATGTAAACATTTCGATGAATTGCCATTTACTTTTTGAAAGTATTACTATACAAACACAAGAACGTAAATATTGTCATAAATCGGCTTTTACTTTAACAAAATATTACTATACAAACACAAGAACATAAATAGTGTCATAAATCGGCTTTTACTTTAACAAAATATTACTATACAAACACAAGAACATAAACAGCGATAAATTGGCATTTATTTTTTGAAAATATTACTATACAAACACAAGAACGTAAATATTGCGATAAATTGACATCTATTTGTAGAAAATATTACTATACAAACACAAGAACGTAAATATTGCGATAAATTGACATCTATTTGTAGAAAATATTACTATACAAACACAAGAACGTAAATATTGCGATAAATTGACATCTATTTGTAGAAAATATTACTATACAAACACAAGAACGTAAAAATTGACATAAATCGACATTTACTTTAACAAAATATTACTATACAAACACAAGAACGTAAATATTGCGATAAATTGACATCTATTTGTAGAAAATATTACTATACAAACACAAGAACGTAAACAGTCATAAATTGACATTTACTTTAACAAAATATTACTATACAAATGCAAGAACGTAAATATTGTTATATATCGGCATTTACTTTTACAAAATATTACTATACAAACACAAGAACGTAAACATTGCGATTAATTGGCATTTATTTTTTTTTAAATATTGCTATACAAACACAAGAACGTAAATATTGTCATAAATCAGCATTTACTTTAACAAAATATTACTATACAAATGCAAGAACGTAAATATTGTTATAAATCGGCATTTACTTTTACAAAATATTAATATACAAACACAAGAATGTAAACATTGCCATAAATCAGCATTTATTTTTAGAAAATATGCAAAATATAACAATTTTATTACCTACATTTTATATAGATATAGACAGTTTATGAGCACTTATAAAGTATAATCTTATTCTGCATCCCAAAACCTAAACCCAACTACTGCATTAATAAATATTAATAATATGCATCTAATTCGTTTTTTGAGCTAAACGTAATCCTTTGTTAATTGTGTGAATTATACATTAAAATGGAGTGTGACCATTATTATTATCAGACAAATACAATTTGTAGCTGATATATATTTTTAAATGGTTTACTTTGAAGTAAACGAAGTACATTTTCACTGCGCCCCATTTTTGCACGTTATTGTGATTTAATGAATACTTCATTTGTTCATTTATCAGTTTGTTTTCCTCCCACAGCTGACTAATCTGAATCTGGCCAATGGGCTCTTCAGCAGAGGCGGACTCACGTTGGCTCCCGGGGTTCCACATGAACCTGTGAGAACGGTTCATAAAGACACCACCGCCGGGAACTCTAGGTAAGCGCTCACACACTCACTCTCACACCCAAGTACACGGTGATCAGACTGAACTCTTGGGCTCCGTCTCTTTCTAGGTTACACTCTGCACTCTATTTAGTTCATTATTTGCATGCATTTTAAAGGCATTCTGAGTACTAAATTCATGTTAAAAACAAACAAACAAAAAAAAAACAAAGTCACCCATATCAGTAGATATCAATATAAAGTTTAAGAGCAGTGGGATAATGAAAAGACAGTCAAAAATAAGAGTGTGTCTACTCTTCATTTGCTTATACAATGCTCATTGTAACATCAAGATTAATGCTGATGTATACAATGTGATTTGCGATATCTATTTTAATGATCTAGGCGCAAAGTCTAAAGCTCATGGTGCAAAAGCAGTAAGGGCGTGTCCGAATCCACTTTTGCTGTTTTAAGGATTGAAAAATATGCCCTGCATCCTGGCGCATGGTTTAACAGGGTTGAGTTCTGGGTGTGTTTTGAGCATAACGTGCATTAAACTAATCCGAGTCCCATCTCTCATCCCCTTTAAGAGTCAGTTGCGTCGCTCCATGGTGCATTTGCTATTAACATGGCGGACTTTGTAAGTGTAAAAACCGAAGACTAGCGAGAAAACAGGTAGACAGAGCATCTGCAGCACGAGGATAAAGAACGAGCCTCTTTCATTTAGCCTCTTTACTTTCTCTTTACTTTACTCCTTTACTTTACTCCTTTACTTTGGTGGAGTGAGGAAACGGTGGAAACTCTCTCCACTGAACACATCCATCAGCCCACATATTTAATTTCCTGTTAAACACAAAGATTTGCTTCAAAACTATTTCTAAATTCAGTTCTGATCTCCAGCAAAGGAATAAATGAACAATAATAATGAAGTGTGGTCAGAAAACTGAGTTATATCCAAACACACGTCCTGTTCTTATCCACATATGCTGATGCAGACGTCCCCAAAACCCTATAACTGGACAAAATCTACACTTGTGTTTATTAAAGCAGATATAAATCTGCATATAATAAATAATACTGCTAATAATAATCACATTATACAGATGCAGATTGCCATGAATAAACTTAAACAACAACAAGTTCTTGTGCTCTTATTCTTATTGAATTACCAAGTATTAACTACTGGCTTATTACCTGCTTATTATTAAGATATCATCAGTTTATTAGTACTTGTATGATCGTATTCTACTTCTTTAATTCTTCTCCATACCTAAACCCAACGACATTTTTAATAGCTATGAATAAACCTCAAAATAATAGTTTATTAAGCTAAACGTCTTAATATATTTTTGTTAATAGCAAGAATTGTACCTTTAAATATAGTGACCAAACTTTTTTTGGGCTCATTGTGGATATATACCCTTGTATACATTTCTGGAGAGTGCGAATTATGTAGCCAGAGCTGTGTGTAGCTGCATTTCGTCTTTAAAATGAACGCTACAGGCTGACATGACACCACTGATGGCTTCTGTTCCGATGGCTTCTCGACGGTTACCAGTTTGTCTAGTGGCTCGCCGCGTACGCCAGCAGACTTGAATCGCAGAGAGGAGTTGACCATGATGATGGGGTTCAGGTCAGGCATAGAAGGGCTCCAGAAAGCAACAACAACATAAGACAAAAAATAAACAAGTAAATAACAGAGTGAGAATGTTAAATCTGAAGATGTGGGGAAAAAAAAGACTGACCTCAGAAGAACAAATATTAGAGGAAATACTGTGTGAAATTCCTGAATCTGTTCAACATCATGTGGGAAATATTTAAAACAGAAAGAAACAAGAGGGTGAATTATTCTGACTGTATATGATGAGCCAGCCAGGGAGACAGACCCTGCAGTAGAGCGAGTCACGGGGGTCAAAGATTACTCTTAATATCATCTGAGTTTGGGAGCTGTACTATAGGGCAAATCGAAATCGATCGAAATTTATGCTCAATTTTGATTATCGAATCAAAAAATAGAATCGTCGATGCTGCCACGCCCCCATGTCACGTCAGCTTGGCTTGCCAAGCGGGAAAAAAACAGGCTTGTTGAAGTGCTTGTTAAACTGCAGAAGCAGGAGACCCGTCGACAGAGCTTAAACCCTCTCCTCTTTCAATGAAGTCGCCGGTGTGTAAGCATTTTGGATTTCCAGTGAGTTATGTTGACAACGTTCGTGTTGTCGACAAAAAAAAACACAGTTTTGCAAGCTCTGCTATGTACGTATTACGTACGGTTCGTCCGATAGACAACACCGGCATCGCGATCCTCCGCCCGCCCCCGTTGCAAATCCGCTCGCGAAAAGTACACACTCAGGCCCTGTTTACACTGTCTTTGTTTTTAAATGGCATTTTAGAACGACAACGATTTGACATCCACAGTGGCGTGTGGCATTTCTGAGCAGCCCTCCTTCCTGTCTACCTCTGAAAATGCACATCACGTGACCTCACACACACACAGCCATGCGCTCGAGACAGCGTGTCCAGGCAGTCAGAGGACTGCTTCAATCTTTCACTCACTTGTACTTCGTCATTTTAGCGAACACCTCAGATACTGTTGGCTGGGTTCTGTTGGTTGTGCGTCTTTTTTACCGACGCCATTATAACGACACAGATCACTGCCTATTCACGAGTCCTGCAGAAAAAGTGATTGACAGGTGGTAATTATGTGTGTATCTTGCCTTTATTCATTTACTGTATGATTTGTTTATCGGTAAAACAAATATCCATGCAGGTCAGGTAGTTTAAACGGTAGGCTACAAATAATTAATTGGTCATTAATTAATTATTCATAATCGAAAATCGATTCGTGCCTATAGAATCGAAAATGTAATCGAATCGAGGATTTGGAGGATCGTGACACCCTTACTGTACTATCACAGCAGGACGAGCGTTGCGAGCGCAGTTTAAGGGTTAAGTACACGCCGTTTCTCCTGTATTTTTACAGTGATATGCGGGTGACAATGTCTCAGACACTTTGGCCCTGATCTCCCTCCACTGTTTTTCCAGTCCAACCCTTCCTCATGTATGGGAATTCCAGGAATGTCTGGCTTTTTTCTTTTCTAAAATGTTTTTATTTCCAGAAAAGAGAAGAAGCGGCGTCGTATAGAACGTGTAACGTGCGGTTTTTAATGGTGATATCTAAAGCAGACGGTCACTTCTCCTTCTGATGGCTGCGTTTGTTTTATCACCGCTCTGCTCCAGAATGTCAGGCCTCATATTTAAGAGCGCAGCTCATCTCTAATATTAGGACTTTTTCCATTACATTGACTGTAAAGCTGCGGAGGATGGATGGAAAAGACGTTAAACAAGGATTCAGCTGTCCCGCTTTCCACTGGGATCAATTGGCAATTAATCATAATAGCATTGGGGAAGAATGGTTAGAAAAAAAAGCCGCTTCTCTTCCCAGAAGGCTCTGGGCCTGTCTGCCTTTTTGTTTGCTGCAGGAGGTTTCATTCCCGGTCAAAAAACGTGGCATCCCATTTGTTAGGCATCTGGCTGGAACTTTCCGCTGGCTACTGTGTGTTTCACGCCAAACTACACGAAAACCCAAGCAAATTCCTCTGCTGTTATCCTTCACCTGCAGAAAATCATTCTCTTGCTTGGTGCTTGTTTTCCTATGCAGTTTTTAAGCACGGATTCTATGTTTCTTGTGTAGTTAGTGTTTAGGGATTACGTTTTCTAAATCTAAATGGGTTTATTAGAGACCTGAAATGACTAAAGATTGGCCTGGCCAATACAAACAAGCTTAAAACAAGAGAAAATATGGGTCACACTTTACAATAAGGTTCATTAGTTAATGTTAATTAATGCATTTACTTACATGAACAAACAATGAACAATACATCTACTACTGTATTTGTTCATGTTAGTTAATGAAAATACAGCAGTTCATTGTTAGTTCATGTTCACTCATGGTGCATTAACTAATGTTAACAAGCATGGACTCGGATGTTAATAATGCATTAGTAAATGTTCAATTATGATTAATAAATGCTGTACATGTGTTGTTCATGATTAGTTCATGTTAGTAAATGCATTAACTAATGAACCTCATTGTAAAGTGTTACCAAAATATGTGCTGATGGAGTCAGATACTTCAACAATCCAAAACAAAACACTATCTTTGAGAATTTTGGTAAAGTGTCTTTGGTTTTGTTTTAGCAAAAATCTAATAATGGTTTTAGAAAAAAACTAAGAACTGCTTTTAAAATAAAACAAATAAGACTTTGTCCAGAAGAAAACATATTAGAGGAAATACTGTGAAAATTTTCTTGCTCTGTTAAAGATCATTTGGGAAATATATAAGTTTTATTCTCTGTTTCTTGTGTAGTCAGTGTTTAGGGATTAAGTTTTTCTTGTTTTCTTAATCAGAAAAGGTTTACTGGAGATGCAAAATGACTAAAGATTGGCCTGGCCTATACAAACACTTAAAACAAGAGAAAATATGTGCCGATAGAGTCAGATACATAAAACAATCCAAAACAAAACACAATCTTTGAGAATTTTACTAGAATTTTTGCTTTTATTTTAGCAAAATTTAATAATGGTTTAAAAAACCTTTGATTCTAGCCGAAACAAAACAAATACTATAGGAAATGGGAATTCCTTACTCTGTGAGACATTTTGTAAATACCTCAAAAATGTAAATGTGTTTTGTGTCACTTGTGTAGTAAATGTTGAGGTAATAAGTTTTTTTTTTTTCAGTTTTCTAAATCTGAATAGGTTTTCTAGAGTAGCAAAATGATTAAGATTAAAAATAATTTCAATTATAGTTTCGCTCGAAACAAAAAATGTGCCGATGGAGTCAGATATTACAAATATGTAAACAAATCAAAACAGAATCTTTTAAAGTTTTATTAGAGGGTCTTTGGGTCTCCTTTAGCAAAAACTTAATAATGGTTTTAGAAAAAAATAAGAACTGCTTTTATTCTAGGCGAAATAAAGCAAATAAGACTTTCTCCAGAAGAACAAATATTATAGGAAAAACTTCATATTTTAAATAGTTAAGTTTAATTTAT